CAGACAGACATACAGATAAACAGACATTCAGCTTTATATAGAAGGATAGGTAAAATGAGAATTTAGCAGAGTCTAACAGTTAACACACTACTAGTACTGTACGTCCAATACAAAAACAACTTAGCTACTCACCACGCGATAAAAACTGGATTGACAGCACTGCAGAACAATTAAGCTTACTATCCAGAGAAACAAGTTGAAAGAAGGTTGTAGTCAATCTTACAGAACTGACCACAAGACCGCTTCCGCGCCCCACTCCTGTTTCCGCTGCTGCTCCGTCGCCTAATCTCGTGTGCCCGCGACCGATGCTGGGTATTATTGCGTAAAAACAAAAGTAGGCACTTGGGACCCTGTGTGTGTCACCTTTTGAAAGGCCGAACTAAGTTTCATGCCTTTCTGTGTAAGGTAAAAGACACGTTGTAATACAGGTGCTAAACAACTCTTCTTGTTAGGCAGACCTCACCTTCTGAATATATGATTTTTAGATACGCAACTACGATGGAACTTTAGTGGGTGCTTCCGAGTTCAAAAACGGCGAGAACAGTAGCGATGAAGAAAGGCGAGTGAAGGTACGTCTACCAAAGTAACCCTCAGGTCATTTCCTTTGTTACTCAAATCAATAATACGCTGCCAATTCGTAGCGAAAATTTGAAATTTTTTTGTTAGACTGGAGCTGAGCATAGTCAAGATTGCAGCGGCCACCGAAAATCCAAAAAAGCTTACTAATATGTTGAAAAGTTTGCATATTATGTGACAACAAGGTCTTAATTCAGGAGGCTAAGCTGAAGAAAAAGAGAGCTATGTTCGCTAACTGCTACATGTGTCAGGTTGGTGATTATTACTACGCGTACGTGAAAAGTGTGGCCAATTTCCAATCTCGAAATTACATAATCTTGTCTGACGAAATAACAGCAGAGTACTCTAAGGAAACAAACAGTAAAATTTGACTAATTATATCGCGGTCCTATCATACAACTATCATTCATTTCAAGATAGATCCTTCAAGCCAACATCTGCACACTCTTGGCAACGAATCGTCGAAGTACGATCAGATTAGAAAAGTGAAGAAAAGGGAAAAGGATATAGACGAATTTCACAAGATGTACGACCTTCAGGTAAGTTTTCATCATGACAATTGGCCAAATTACATATGATGCCCTAGATTAACATTACGCCCGAAACTATGCCAGAATTTCTTGTGCGAGGCGAAAACATAGCCTTCATTCGTGCCGGTGGGTCGCTCTACACGAGGAGGTATATGGTATTCTTTCCATACGAGACAAATAATTCGGTTCTTCCAGATGCCTAAAGACATTTCGACGAACGGAATATGCCGATCATCACCTATCGCAGCATGTGCGCTCTATAGATAGTTTATCGGATCTAGTTGTTAGATGTCCGAATTGGATGCGTGGTTGTTTATTCTATACTAAGCGACTGACGGCTAGAAGCGGGACAATACGGTAAATAAATTTGTGTCTTACAAGCGTATTGTTCCAAAGTGTTTTTTTTCCGATTCTTATCTTCTCTTGACTCGTTCTCTTACCGGCCTACATTACCACAGTCTCATAAACGTTCAAAAGGTACGCAGGAAATAGAGTCACTTCCCGGGTGGTTGATTAGACCACTGATAGACTATTTACCAAACTCCGCTATTCGTTCTCTGTCACAAACATGCAGGTGAGATGCGATATCATACGCTACTATAATTAGTTTATGAGTGAATATTATCAGCTTTCAGATCGTTGAGAGAAACAATTTTTGCATGCGCAAAAGAAAGGTCAATGATCAGCTTGGTATGGGAGAAATGTGATGGCTGCTGGTTTGAAAACGGAATAGTTAGTAATTGCAAAACAACTTTCATCTTGATTAAAGCGTTTTTTTTTT